CAAAAGCAGCCGAGCTTAGTCTTTTGGCTAGTGTGAATATATGTGGACCCCACTGCAATTTATTATCTATTACAATACCAAGAAACGAAGTCTCATCAACAAAGTCCAAAACATGATGATTCATACTAACAGTTGTCGTTACTTGTTTTACATTTGGTAAAGAGAATTTAACACATTTTGTTTTCATTGAATTAAGCGCTAGATTATTTGATGTAAACCAGTTTAGAACATCCTCAAGAGCAATATTTATATTATTAAAATCCTTTGTATTTCTTTTCACTTTGAAAATAAGTGATGTGTCATCAGCAAACAATACTATGTCAAGTATGTTTTGAAACTGGTATGGTAAGTCATTTATATAAACAAGAAAAAGAAATGGGCCAAGTATAGAACCCTGGGGTACACCCATTTTTATAAATGACCCCTTGGACTTGCTTCCTTTAATGTCTACCACTTGAATTCTATCACGCAAATATGATCCAATGAGTTCTGAGGATTTTTCTCTAATTCCATAATGCTCTAGTTTGCGTAATAATATCCTATGGTCAACGCAATCAAACGCTTTAGAGAGATCACAGAAGACACCAATGGCATCCTGTGAATCTTCCCAGGCACCGAAAATACTTTGTATTAAGTTAATGCCTGCATCAGTAGTAGACCGTCCACTCATAAATCCAAATTGCTGTTTATGAAATAAATCATGTGTATTAAAATGAGCTAACATTTGTGTAAGTAGTATCTTTTCAAAAATCTTACTAAATACTGGTAAAATTGAGATAGGTCTAAAATTTGATATATTGTCTTTGTCACCAGATTTAAATAGCGGTATTATTTTACTCACTTTCATTAGATCTGGAAAAATACCTTGATCAATGCTCATATTAAATATTTCAGTTAAATGTGAAGCAACTTCACTTATTACAGTTTTCATGACTCTAACTGACATACCCCAGATATCCTCAGTTCCTTTTAGATTGAGAGCGTTGAACGTTTTTATCACACAGGAGCAACTGATATGATGAAAAGTAAAGTCATGAACGCAAGGATTTATGGTATTTTTTAATAATGTTTTAGCTAAACTAGGTGACGAGTTTAAACTTTCCGTAGCTTTGAGAGGTATTGTTGAAAAGAAATTATCAAAAGTTTGAGCAACTAGTTCATTATTATCAATAATAACGCCATTTTCTGCTTTTAACTCATATTCTGCCTGGCGCGACTTAATGTTACCTGTTTCTGTATTTATTATATTCCAGGTAGTTTTTATTTTATTTTTAGAAAACTTAATTTTATTCTTTAAATAAAGTGCCTTGGCGGCCTTACATACTTTTTTGAATAACTTTGAATAATTTTTGACATATTCATAGAATATAGGATCACGCAAATATGATCTAATATCATATAATTGATACATATTTTCCCTACTTATATTGATACCTAATGTTGACCATTCAGCGTACTTAGAATTATTGACTTTAAGTTTCTTTACTGTAAAATTTTTATCAAAATGATTTTTTATTATATTGAAAAAACGATTATATGATATATTTGGATCAATATTATCAAATATCAAAAACGGTAAACTTCCATTTAATCTGTTTTTAAAATTCTGTAATTTAAATGCTGTTGTTGGTCTGTAGAACTTATACATAATCTCGTTTTTTTCATTACATGCGAATGTTACTATTTGTCCACAATGGTCTGACGGCAATCTATTTATAATCGATTTATTTAAAATACTGAAATTACAATATATATTATCAATACATGTTGCCGTAGTGGATGTAATCCTAGTAGGTTCAAAGAAAATATGATCCAGATCAAAACTTTTAAAAAGGTTTCTAATTTTATTACTTATAGGACTATCAACAAGAAGATCTATATTGAAATCCCCACATACCAAAATAAATTTGTTACTTTTGAATGCTAACTTCAGTACATCTTCCATGGTAGACTCAAATTTTTCATAGTCTGAGTTAGGAGGCCTATACACACATATAATTATGTGTTTCTCTAGTTCTACACATGATAATTCTATAATGCATTCATTTGAAAGTGCTACAATATCTTTACGTTCTTTCCCTTTAATGTTATTTTTTAATAAAATAATTGAGCCACCTCTAATTGAAATTTGCCGAGTAAATGTACTCAATATTTCATAATTTGGTAACTGAAATACCATGTTGGACTGTTTCAACCAATGTTCTGTGAGGCATAATATTATATTATACATAGAAAACACCCAGACCGATACAAACAATCATACTCATGAATACAAATATTTGTGCCGTGTGAGGAATCGAACCCGCGACCATCAGTCGTAAAGCGGTGTGCCAGAGTGACCGCCAAGGTTCCAACCACGACCGTTTACCCGTGAGGATGGTGGAATAAATATAAAAATAAAACGTGGTAACATCCCGAGATTTTTACTAATTATACATATAAATAATGACCGCGTCAAGTTTAAAACAGTAAATAGAATTCTTATGAGAAGATGACTGGCCATACCATCAACCATACCACGGTGTGGTTTGTACCAGGCATGTAAAAACATCCTTCGAGTCTAATTGTTCACTTAGGCATAACGATTGCTGTCTAGCAAAAAGAGTCTCCGTCTAACTCTCCGGCGATGGAAAACATCGATATCAAACAAAATAATCCAAGACGATGTTTGCCCCCTGATTCTATTTATTCAAACTTTCAAAGCTTGCAATTCCCCTGGTACTGCGAGTGCTCATGGACGGCGATAATCACTTACCATCAGATGAGCCGGAAGTTTGTTATAAAAAAAGGCAAATAAACTATTTATCTATCTAACGATGACAGCCAAAGACGCTGTAATTTGCTAGTAGGAAGTAAAATCTATACATATACATATATAAAATTGGAGTGTCTGTTTGTAATATTGCAATAACCGCTTTTTACTACGTGCATATGAATAAATACGGTACATACACCAATATATCATTTTTTACAATTTTTGTCTTTCTGCCTGTCGTTTTGTTCCGGCTAATCTCTGAAATGTCTGGACCGATTTTGACTGGACTTTTTTGGCAGGTAGCCGTTGTAATAAGGAGTAACATAGGCTACTTTTATTTAAAAAAAATAAACTTAAATTCCACGCGGACGAAGTTGCGAGAACAGTTAGTCTAAAAATAAATTCCCAAGAACAAGGTTCTCGCCATCAATTTCCATACTCGTGTACATCATAAAGTCAATCCCCGCATCCTTTATCAAACGATCCGCGGATATCCAAACAGTAATAAAGCAAGAATGCACACAATAAAATAAAGTATGTTATAATAAACCGAATATGTGCAGACGAAATGCGACAGTGGGTAGAATCGGGCGCACGAGAAGGGTCGTTGTCTGGAATTTTATAGGACACGAGGTGATCACGGAATGAAAACGTTTTTTTATGGAATTGGGATGCTTACGGCCAGTCTGATGGTAAGCGGTAGCTGTCGCTTGTCTACGTTAATATCCCCTAATTGTGAATCTTGTGAGAAAGAGAGTCTGTTTTATATTTTGATGGAATGTTTTCGAATTGCATCCAAAAATGAATATATCATTCAAGCTATAAAGTGAACTAGGTTCGACGTAGGTATTCCTTGGAATATTGATAGAACCAGCTTCCGATAGAGCTAAATTATTGTTTTGACTGGTATCACATTAGTTTAAGTTAATTTTTTATTTAGTATAGATACGATATGATAGATTTCGTCGAATTTTGTGTGCAAAGATTCTAAAAAGGGTGTAATATCTCTATATTTATAATCATTTTCTCTCCGTCAAAGACTTACATTTTATTATGAAGCCTAATGATAGTCAGGTTGCATTTCCGAGGGTTGATCGAGAAGCAGAACCCTAGCAAACTAATTTTCTCTGACCTATCTCATCACACCTCTCGCCATAGACAGGGAATTCATCATCACACTCTAGAACTAAAGTGGTCTAGGACGGTGTGGGTTTAGAGGAGTATCCTCCCGCGTACACTTAGATTGTGGAATAATTAATAATAATCTCAAGACAACTCACACAGCGCCATCTAGACCCGAGTTAAGCTAGTTAAAGCTTGTGTTATGGGTACTAGACAACTGATACAAATACATATATATATATATTTCTTTTTCGTAAATACATACAATACATACATACATAGAAAAGACCCAGAGCGACACAAACAATCATACTCATGAATACAAATGTTTATGCCGTACGAGGAATCGAACCCGCGACCATCGGACGTAAAGCAATGTGCTAAACCACTAGACCACCGAGGTCGTCAATCGAATGAATTACCTGCCAAGATTTCTCGAGAAACTACTACTAACTACTAACTCTATGGGGTTTTTCAAGGCTATATTAAGGTTTCTTAAGGGTCAGCAACGCGCACGTGACACCCCTGGTGTCTCAGGCGTCCATAGGCTACGGTAACTGTTTACCATTAGATGGGCCGTATGTTTGTTTGTTGTATAAAAAAAATATTGTTGTCTGTTGTTAAGTTATATTATTATTACAATTGATCTAGCGTAGATGGATACAAGTTTTTCTTAATTATTTATTTATATTAACTTCAGCTTGTAGTTTGGCAGTTTATGTTCACACAAATTTTTTCTTCACACAAAGTTACTTAATAATGTAATTCCGAAAATATTTTTTTTTAATGATGTTCAGAATTATTATAGAGCAGAAGACAAGTTTTTGCTCTTTCTTCTTTGATCAGTAGTTTCGAAGGAGTAGCAGAATAATAAAATATGACTAATCAAAAGTGCTTATATTAAGTTTATTTGAATAAAGATAGTTATAACAAAAATAGCTTTTAAGAATTATTGCATTATATATGGAAATGGATATAGAAACTTAAGCCTAAATAAATGAGATAAGGAAGAAGCAGAAAGAGAGAGATATAGAAACTTAGTTAAGTCTATTTTGTAACTGTTTTTTTTTTATAAACTTATTATTGTTCTTAAAGATTTTTTTTTATTTCTACAGATGCTTACCGTGCTTTTACTGGATCTATTTCTTCGCCCGCACCGCCTTCTGGCTGTAATTGCATGCCGCCTTGTGCCCACGTCACTGTTAGCCAATCTGAAAAGAAAAACACATATAGTTTCATTTTCCATTACGTGGTACGTTTAGATCATAAAAAAACTTACTTAATACAACTTCTTTTTTCTTTTTTGTTTTATTAAATCAAACCATTTGACTTTACGTAGGTATATTCATATTTTAAAATAATTACTATGAACTTTTTTTTTAATTTATACAAATGATATGGTTTTCCAGGGCCGTCAAAGACTTAATAAAAAAAAAACAAATGATATGGCATTATATCACGGTATATTCCTATTTTAAAAGGCCCAATAAATTTCTTATATGGAATTTAATCGTGTGCTTTTGACACCTCTTTGTTAATGCTGACTTATTGCCCGCTGGCTGTATATCATTTTTCCTGGACTTATTATAGGAATATATTTTTTTTAAATTGCGGAAATATAAACGACCATCCAAAGTATGAAAGAAGTCAAATAAATCGTAGTGAAATTCAATCCCTTATACCTTGAAAATATTGCTTTCAGTAATAAGACCGCTACATTATCTCGAAGGGGGCGAAATAGGGGACTATAAGTTTGTGCAGACCAAGTCGTGGGTAACAATTAGTATTGAATTTTTTTAAAATATAATTCCATACATTTGAAAATGGAATTTCAACATTCAAATTTATAATCTAAATATATATAAAACTCAAAGGTGACTGATGTAGTGATCTATCAACGCACAGCCCAAACCACTGGACGGATCGAGCTGAAATTTGGCATGCAGGTAGATGTTATGACGTAAGCATCCGCTAAGAAAGGATTTTGATTAATTCTACCCCCAAAGGGATAAAATGGGGGAAAATTGTAAAAAATGTTAATTTGGTGTATGCACCACATTTACATATATTAATATGTATGTAGTAAAAACGGTTATTTCTGTATTACAAACAGACACTCCAATTTTATTTATATGTATACATAAAGGTATTTACCTCTATCGACTAGTGCAACCTAGTCGAAACGTCGAGAGAGGTAAATACATTTATTTGCCATAAAATTAGTTCGTATTAAGACCCGGTTAATAATATAAATGATGAGGTCAGATCAGTTTGCCCAGTTAGTTCTAGGGGGAACCGCGTGGAGGTTATCTCGACCTGGTACATTGCTAGAAATGGGGTCATCAGTCTATATTACTAACGATACGATACGATATTGAAATCTTCAAGAAAAGAGCTTATTAAGACGACCTCGGTGGTCTAGCGGTCTAGCACACCGATGGTCGCGGGTTCGATTCCTCGCACGGTACAAACATTTGTATTCTTGAGTATGATTGTTGGTATCGGTCTGGGTGTTTTCTATGTATAATATGTATGTATTTATGAAAAAAAAAATCTATGTATTTGTATCAGTTATCTAGTACCGTAACACAAGCTTTATATAGTTTAACTTGGGACTAGATGGCCCTGTGTGAATTGTCCTGAGATTATTATTATTCCTTTTTAAAAGGCCGATAACACACTTGCAACTGCAACACCAGGGTGTTGCAGGTGCTCATGGGCGGTAATCACTTAACATCAGGTGAGCCGCAAGTTTATTATAAAAAAATGGCAAATAAATTATTTATCTATCTGCAGGTGTAATGTAGGTGAACCGCAAACAAGTTTGTCCCCTATGCTATAAAAAAATCTAATATCTAATCAACGTTGACTGTTCACGAAAAATCACGTGAAAAATCAATTTGAACGGTACCTATTATAGGGTTCGGCCGTTTGTCGCAGAGATGCGAGATTGATAACGACATCAGCTCTCCAATGGAGACCAGTTAGGTGATTTAAATAGATTGAACAGTATTGTAATCTTAATCAATAATCTGACTCAGTGGTATAGCTATTTACGTTTTGTCGTACTGAGAAGATCATAGATTCGTTCTCGGTGACGATATTTTTGTTTGCAGTAAACAATAACAGTTATAACTAAACAACTGTATGCCACAAGTGTCACATAATGCAGTGCATGCAAAAAGGCCGCTGCTCAGTTTGGTTTTTTATACTACTACGGTGTTAACCAAGCATACGGGCCATCTAATGGTAAATTAATACCAGAAGTGGGACGTGCGCGTTGCCCACGCTTAAGAAACCTCGGTATACCCTCCTTGAAAGACCCCATACCGTAGTCTCCTGAGTAAACCTCGGCAGATAGTACATTCCACAATGTAAGTGTATGCGAAATGAAGTTCCTCTGAAACTGCATTTTTGCCCAGGGAGCAAACGTTCAAAGAGGATAGTAGTTCTTAAATCGTTGCAATCGTTTCAGAGTTTATTTTCCTCAATCAAAATAATAATAGTCGATAAAGTATGACATTATTTGACAAGAGCTGAGCGTGGTCCTAAATTTCTAGGCTCAACATTTCAAGCATTAAAACATGAATTATGATACATCAAGTAAACACTAAACATAATTCTAACTTTATTTGTATTATACAAAAGGTTTACAGTGGATTGATTAGTTTAAAATTGCATAACCTGTGACATTGCTTTTTATATAGTTCAGGGGTCAAACGAGCCTGAACGGCGGCTGTGGTAATCACTTGCCATCAAGTGAATAGTCACTCGACGGCAAGTGATTATCCCCGCCCATGAGCACCCGCAACACTAGTAGGAATTGCAAGCACATGGCCGCTCTTAAGAAGGAATAAGCTCTTTTCTTGAAGGTTTCAATATCGTAACGGAAATACCATTGCTGGAAGGTGATTCCACAATGTGGTTATGCGTGGCAAAAAGTTAAGTTCACAGTAAAGAGTAGCCTCATAATTGTGACCAACTATGACAATACTTTGTCACAGTTGATGATGAACATAAATGATGAAATTCATGTGACGTAATTTATGGATTGATGATCCATAAACATTTAAAAATAGTATAAAAACCGTTACAAGCAAACTCCTTGATAGGTTTGTATACTGAATAAAAAAAAATTTAATATATAATGTGCTATAACAAAAAGAATAGCATAAATGTGAAAAACCGCTACAAGCGAACTCCTTGATAGGTTTGTATACATTTTAAAATGAATGTGCTCATCATCAACGGGAACAATTACCGTTGATGATGAGCACAAATGATGAAATTCATGTGACGTAATTTATGGATCATCCTTATTTATACGCACGAAGCTGAGCAAGTAAATTAATATAGTCTACAATTTTATCGTATTTTCTAATAATGCTGAGTACAAATTAATAACCCCGTAATGCCGATTCTCCAGCCGCGCCCCGATCTCAACAAACAAACAAATCGGGTTACATTACAATACATTTAACGTATTTCTCTCATGTACCCGAGTCAGCAGCTTTCCGCTAAATTGGGCTCCCGATAAGAAATATTTCCATGTGAACGCAGCCGTAGGCCCGGCCTACTTAAATAGAAACTTCACTTTATTTACCTCACATTGTTGTGTTATCGATTTTTTTTCACATCACATGGTAAATAATAATAGTATCTTTTGACAATTCACAGAGCGCCATCTAGTACTAAGGTAAGCAAACATTGTGTTATGGGTATTACATAAGTGATTAAATTGTTAGAATTTTTAAAATACAATACATATATAGCTTAGACATTTTTTATTCCCACCAGATACCCACTCAGTATCACCAATGCCACTGTTTTGTCTTGACTGCAAGATATCTCTTCTAGTGATAAGACTACCTTTGCTCACATTGTCTCTAAATTATATTATTAATGTATTACCTGTGCAATAAACAATATATATATATACATACATAATAGTACATAAAAAACACCCAGACTATAGTTATAGTACGACCAGTCAAGAAACTGGTCAGTGATTGGTCATTTCAATTCACTTAGACTGCGTGTGTGAAACGTATATATAAATTATTTTTTTAATAAACTATCTAAAACAGTTAATATAGATATATTTTGTAATAATATTAAATCAACAAGACGCCAACTAAGTGAGCCCTTCTTTAAATAACAATTAATTATTATTGAAAATCATGTATATGTATATATTTCTATAAATTTACTATTTGTTACTGTACTCTTGTTAATTAATTTCATATTCTCTGTTAACTTTATAATGCCTTTATACGTAGTGATGTAAATTTTTTAAGAATTAGTCTATTGTTATTAGTGAAAGCCTGTCAGTGGCTTATTATGACGTATATATTGATTTTATTTAAGATGTATGTACTTGAATAGCCTTGGTTTTCCATTAATATATAAATAAAAATGATGACGAAACAATCATACTCATGAATACAAATATTTGTATCGTGCGAAGATCAAACCCATATTAGACGAGTAAAAGTAAGACGGTATGCTAGACAACTGTACCACTGAGGTTTAAACGACAAAAGTCGATTAAATGAACTCACGGTCGTTGGGGGAAGGGGTTGTTAATAATGTGGATTGATAACCCCATTGCTAGCAACATTGCTAGCAATGGTACATACCATGTCAGGTCGACCTCCACGCGGTTCCCCCTGGAAACCATCGTGTTAAATTCCTGGTGAATTTATCACGATGGGCTAACTGACCTGACCTCATGCTCATCTTATCATCCTCCACTGATGCCCCGCCAGCATAAACCGTTAGCGCAGGCGGGTGCATCATTCCATTATCATCAAAAAAAGAACTCTGTCTGTCTATCTTGCTTTCACGCCAAAAATACTGATCCGATCTAAATGAAATTTGTTACACAGATACTCTAGACCCTGAGAAAGGACATCGGCTACTTTTAAATGAGGAAAGAGGGTTGTAAGGGGTTGACAGGGGAGATGCAAGTAAGTTCGCGCGTGTTCCTAACAGCGACTGAAAGGTGTTTTTTTTTCAGTCTACTCTAATGCTGCTGGCCGCATCTGACCTTTACAGCTTTACCGGGGACTCCGACAGCGGCGAGTGCACATGGTACTCCAAACCCGCGGAAGGTCTTCTAGAGCGGCTGAAAGCCAACCCCGCCCGACGGATACGACTTTAGTCTGAGGGCACAGGTAGGGATTCGAACCTCGGCTCAGGCCGTCGTAATTTCGAACCCAATTTGAATTGGATGGGGG